AAATTATTAATCTGTAAAGTCTCACCTTTTAAGTATTAATTATTAAGTTATTATGAAATTTATATTCTTCAAGTAGCACACTTTAGAATAGAGCCTAGCATTTTTCCATTAATTATTTGTGTAACTTATTGTGCATACTATTATATCCATGGATGAAGTATAAGCAAAAGGATAATGCATCAAGTAGAGACAGTCAGAGTCCAGGCAGTTTGCATAACACAATAGCCGGATTTAACTTTCAAAGGTAAAGTCATTAAGGATTCTTCTTGTGTCTCATCCATTCTGTCTTACCAAAACTATCTTTGTTAGAAGAAATTAGACAAAAAAAAAAAAAAAAAAAACTTGAAAAATCACATCAAATATTTCTGGAATGCAAAAAGTTTCGATTTACTCTTCATCTGATTTCTTTTTTCCCCCATTGCAAACAAGTAAAGTATTTTTACAATGACAATTTTCACCTCACCTCTCCGTCTACAACTCTATCAATCTATATTGATTTGATTGATAAGTTGTAAAGAAAACAATCAATCAATCTTTTGCAGGTTATTTAAAGCCAAAACATATTTTTGAATTGTCAGAATATATATATATTTTTTTTATGAGTGTATCTTGTATTAACAATACTTGTAGATAATAATGATTTTCAAATACAAATTCCACTATTTAACATGTAGCCAGTGTGGAATAGAGGCAGATTCATATTTTTCCTTTAGGGTATTTTTGTGTGATTGATTGTAATGAACCCAACTATAATTTCTAATCAAACTTGACTCTCCAATTTCTCATTCAAAGCTGTTATCCATTACACCAAGTGCACATGCAAGCTTACAACACCTGACTGATCAATCTAATAACACTACATGAATGTTAAAACTATTTCCATAGATCAATGGTTAAAAATGGCTTCAAACTAATGAACCCTTTAGGTTTTAAGGAAGACTGGCACTAAAGAATCACAAAAAACTCTACCAAATCACAAAAACAACATCACTTGAACACTTCCAACAGTAACTAAAATGGATATCACATAACGTGAAGGGAATATGTCAAGATATTGACTTTCGATACTATCATAAAAATAGATTAGGAAGGAAATTTCCATCAGTACTAAAAAGAGCAATAACAGCTAGTGGTCTTGAGAAGTATATTTTCCTGAAAAACTGTTTTAACCCTTTGAGCCTTGACCACCGTGTTACCAGCGGTAGAGAAAAATGATGTAATGCCTAGCCACCCATTGAATGGTGGGTAATGTTATAGTGGAACACACCTATTCTTAGTTAATAGACTCTCCCACCTATAATAAGTAGGAGTAGTAAGAGTAGCGAGTCGCTTGAGTGAGTTGGTCAGTCAGTTGATGCCGGACAACCATTAGTCAGATACTAAAGTATCAGTGACCACCATTAGATTACTCTGGGTCATACCTATTATATCAAGTTCTTAACGTTTTGTACGTTGAACCTATTTTAGGACCGACTTAGTACAAATACAAGCATCCACTGTGAAAACACTCCATAACAGGTAAACACATGTAACTATTTTTATATCTATTGTGAAACATTATATACCAATTATTTGCAAATTTTGTCCCAGAAGCTGAGGCAGAAGGGTTAAAATTGTTCAGGGACGGAGGGCCCAAAGGGTTAATTAAAAAAAATTATACATTTCAACTGGCAGTAGCACTGTTTCTTCAATGAAAGTTTCTTGCATAAAAATGGCTAATCTAACTAACGATTACCAAATGATGAAAACAGCAGTTCCTCAATCTTATCTTTTTTGCTTTATGCCTCTGCCTTGGCTACTTGCTGAAAAACAGAGGGGAGTGGAGAAAACAAAAATGGAGTTGAAAAAGCTCCAATCCAAGATAGAAGTCGCAGGTTGAAAGGTTATTTATTTATTTTTTTTTTTTTTTTTACACACATTCCTCTTCACTGGCATTTTGAAAAAAAAAAAAAATACATTTATTATTAATAAAGATGATGATAAACAAAAAAAACTAATGAATGAAGATGACAGCCTTCAAGTTGTAAAATAAAGTGTCCTGGAATAATAAAGAGACTTGCTGTCACTTGGTCTCCAATGGAAGCAACCATACTAATACTGAGTAGCAAGTACCAATTATATTTAAAAACTGGGATGGTGGAATTGTAAAAAAACAAAAAAAACAAACAGGCCTTGGGATGTGAGGGGAAATTGATGTCATTTGATCCTTGTGTTAACAGAACCTGATACCTTTTATGAATAGATTGAAAAGAAAAAAAAAATCCAACTCTAAACTAAATTCAGACTTTCAATTTCATTTCTAAAAACAGAGATTTAAAAAAAAAAAAAAAAAACACCCAATCATTCAATTTTATCTTCTAATTGCACTCCTTCCAACAAATTCAGCCAGTCTTACTTTCTCTCCTTCTCTAGCGCACGAGTCTCAAACACTCAGCTCATAGACTATCTTTTTACTGAAATTTGAAAACGCATCATTGGGATAGATAAAGATGCATTGCGAAAGCTAAGCAGAGTATTAAGAGACAGAAAAATTTAGTTAGAAACAAAGAAACTGTTACGTGATATCTGTCATCCTATATGGCAATGAATGCTGGACAATCTCCTCAAAGATGAAAACACTTGAAGTAACAGAAATGTGGTTCTACAGAAGGATGCTGAGGATACCATGAAACAATCATATGAACAACAACAAGGTTTTAGAAAAAACGGAAACAAAAAAGGAACTTATACTTAAAGTCAGGAAGAGACGGTTGAAATTTCTGGGGCACGTAATGAGAAAGAGGAGCTTGGAGAATCTGGTACTCACATGACTGAAGGCAAGAGGTAAACAGTGCATAAGATACTTAAGATGGGCTTTAGTAAATAGATGGCTGAAGAGGGTTTATGAGAAGTAGCAAAGGTACAGGAAATTGTGGAGGGCTATGATCGCTTACATCCTGAGGGGGACATGGCACATAAAAAAGGGGGACCATTTTCATTACCAATATTTTCCTCAAACTGTAATAAGTTTAACAGAGGACAGAAGGTAAATTTGGAATCAAATGAAGGTAATTTGAACTCTAACATTGCTTATAAATCTGAATTCAGTAAAAATTATGATACCCTCCACATTGGTAATACCTTGGCGACTATATTGCACCTCTCCCTTGACACGTAATGGCCTTTTTGTGTCCTTCAGTTTGAAACCACTACTCTAGCAATTAAAGGAGCTCAAGTCACGCGGAAAAACGTAAAATATATCACGTGATAAAATTTTTATTTTTTTACTAATGAGAACACGCATCTTAATTTTCGTAGCCTGAGTGTATCTGATCTAAGAAGAAAAATACGAGTTGCTAAAGACAACAGAACAGTAGAGGAAAGATCTCACGAAGTGGACACATCACAAGCAGGTAGATCAAGTTCAGTCAGTTATGTGTCATGCATGATACACCATTAGGCGATCATGTATCTTTCGATACATGACTGACGAGGCAGATTTCCCCCACCCAGTAAAATTTTTGCGGTAAACCAGTTGCCATCCAAGGCTATAGAACCCGGAATGTACTGCTATTTTTTGGGGTGGGGGAGAAGACGATTCATACATAAGTGAATGTAATCATAATGGATTTGACTGGAATTCGAACTCCGCTATCCATTACTCCACCGTGCCTCCTAGATCAAATTACCATTCTTTTAAGTTTTACTCCTTACTCCTACTAATTCGGCCAGCATATTTCCTTTTAACTCTAGCAAATGCTAAGAATCAGATGAATATTACCTCCCCTACATCTAGTGACGCCGACGATGAATATGAGATTCCTGATCGCTTAAAAAAAAAAAAAAACTGTCACTATCAAATATCAATAATGACCCACGATTAAAACACATTAGGAATTATTTCTGAACCTCAGGCGAAAAAAAAATATAAATAAATAAAAAAAGAATACTTTAACAGAAAAACTAAATTAAAATGAGCATAGGGGAAATTAACACAAAAATCCAACGGAAGCTTCACTCGTTTTGAATGTACATCCATAGAACTCCGACAATATAAAAACGCTGGTTCTTGCAGATGCTAGTAATTTTCAATGCAAAAAGACATTTAACACAAAGGACGCGTTATGAATGTGGTGGAAAACTACTGAGAGGTAGCTAGCAAAATTACCGACCCTTTTGAAAACAAACTATACTACATTCTTATAGTGAACACTAAATGATTTTTGGTAAATTAAACGCGAAGTTCACTATGAGACATTTATTTTTAAATACAAGACTCTTTACAATCATTGCGTTATATGAAAAGCTCATTGGCCATAAGGTTCTATCCACAACTGTTTTACAGAGAATGTAGCTGAATAAACCAACTACAACAGCCCAACTAGCGCTTATGGTGAGTGAAACAGAATTTGAAAAACTTGCTGAAATTTTGGTCGTCAGATTCCAAGACATATGTGAATTTATTTTGCACTTGTACCCCAACAAATGAATTATTCTAGCAATTACAGACCACGGGAGCAGGTTTAACCAACCAAATTAAATCTCTGCAAAATATACACCAATCAAGAGATACTCGGTAGACTAGCAGACCACATTTTCGACAAGAAAAAAAAAAAAAGAAAAAAAAAAGAACGCCCGTCGGAGGAGTGAAAACGCTACATGACACAAACCCGAGACATGTTGGTCTCAGTACAGATTCGGGACTGAAGCTAAACATCATTTACAACATTATACTTTTACTAACCATAAGAGGAAAACTTCAATTCCAATTGGTAGCGATGATGACTGCAATTGGTTGATTTTGATTTGTTTTTTTTTTATGGCATATCAACTTTTTTGCAGAAAATATTATAGATTGTAAGAATTTTTGGCGATAATAATGATTTACTGATACAAGTCCTACTATTTAATCCATATCTGGGGAGGAAATGAGGTGGATTCATATCTTTCCCAAGTGTATTTGCACGTAACTGAATATAACGAACTCGACAAGAATTGGAACTCGGCTCTCCGATTTCCAATTCGGCATCTGGTACTCCTAAGTGGTCACACATCTAGGTACTGACCCGGTCAACGTTGCATAACTTCGGTGATCTTATGAGAATCGGTGTTTCAATGTAATTTGGCCGTAAGACACGGCTGAAGTTGGACTCACACATTCTACATTCGGGAGAGGAATCACGGATATAATTCTTTAGTCGACACCGATGCCGAAGTAAGCGTTTATCACCAGACCCAGACTCTGGGCAAAAAAAAATAATACCAGGATCCTATTAAAATACACACATCTTGGTGGGGAAAATCTTACCATAAACTGGACAGTCACCCAAGCAAATGAAACGTAGCCAATATTATGCGCAGATTGCTTGGCTATCAGTCAATATATGGCTACTTGATCCCCCATCGGCAATAGGACAGAACTCACAGAAGAGGAGGAATTCCGTTAGGAATCAATAGGAATTAATATTGCTCTACAAGAAGACAAAAATATTAAAATACCACTTCAGGAGTACGCAGATATCACGACGATTCATATCAGTATTCTTTTACATTTATTACCCATCAAGAAATTACTAAGAAACATAACCTAAAATGCAACGAGGCTTTCAACAACGCTAAATCTACCACATCCAATTTAACAAAGCTTAGCTACACCAAAGATGATAATACTAAACTCAAATTGGCAATAAATGCAATCAGATCAGTCATCCACCAGATAATTGACCCAAAAATAAGACCAATATTTTTAAGGTGAACTCAGCACAACAGAAATATAACACTCATAATTCTGTTAGTAGTTTACCTCTCAATAAGACACTTCAAACATATTTTTAAATGACGTAAATTACAGATCTCGAAGCATTAATATGTACTCCATAGTCCGACAAATATACACCGTGTGAAATTCAGCATTTGGAATCCATTTCCCCACCAAAACACTTCAGATATACGCTTCATAATCAGGCAAAGATAACGGCCAATAATACACTATTGCGAACATCAATTTTTGACTGACACATGAAGTAATTTCTGAAAAACGAAGAAAACACAATATACTGCAACAAGTAGAAAAGCACAGATCTTTAAAAAGGAGATGACTTTCCCATCTATTTCGGCAACAATTATTAATGATATTACGGATAAAAATCTACAACCCGACATACCACTATCCTTGTACAAACTGATTTTGTTATCTTCACATTTTCTCGCATCCTGTGAGACTTACTACAACAAAATTAATCTGCTAATGCATGGTCAAATATGTTTGTCGGCATATTAAAAAACACAATTGGTGGTAGAGAAAAAAATGGCCCAGTCACCGGTTGAACGGTGGGTAAAACACTTGTAACTATTTTTATATCTACATACCAATTATTGGCGAATTTTGAGTCGGGAGCTCAGGCAAAAGGGTTAAAATTGTTCAGGAACGCAGGGCTGAAAGGGTTAATATCAAAATTATACCAAATCACTATCAGATAATTCGACAAACCAAAAGTTTCAGTAATCTGCATAGTGACATTGTGGGACCACCTGCTGATACACACATTTTAACACTAGTTGACAGATTCACTAGGTGACCAGCCACTACTTCACGAGGTCAAACATTTTAAAACCTTTGCAGAGAATCTTAGACAAAATGATGAGATTACCATTTGCCCGCCCACAAGAAGTAATACCATAAGTCATATACAGGTGAAGTTGTTTTCAGAAAAAATAATAAACATAAAAAAGCACAACGATAAAGTAATTTCTGCACAAATTATTTCGGACTTTATAAAATTAAAAACAAAAACAAAAAACAAACAATAAAATAAGGAATTTTAAAAAGAATAAGTTACAGTTATGCTAGTCAGACATCAACCGGCATATACCGAGCAACAATTTAACCAAGACTGCTTAACACACACTTTCTGTTATCCCCACGATAAAAAAAAAAGGAACAAATAAAGACAACTAAATCCGGAAGTCAAATCAAAAGCTCGGACCATTATAAAACAATGGATACTGATTACATTTATACCAATCGAGAGATTTTAGGGGGTGGGGCAATTTCATCACTTGCAAAAATATCGCTTAAGGAAAAAAAAAATTCAAATCCAGCCCCTAACTTATCTATTTTTTTTGGGGGGGGGAGTGGTCTCCAATAAACTGCACTTAAATTATCAAGTCGCGCGAAGGTAAGCGTAATCATATCACATGACAAATTTTTTTAACCAATATTTTCGGAATCTCGATGAGTCATCTAGTAGATTAATGATTCTTAACGTGGACCCTTTGGTCCAAATTTGGGCCCTAGAAATATTTTAAATGGGCTTGGAGACACCATTTTATGTATTTCCTGTTACATGGAATTTTTATTTGTGCGTGTGTGGGCCTGAATTGTTTTTTATACAACAAAATAGGGGGGGGCACAAAGAAGAAAAGGCTGAGAAACACCGAGAAGCTGATGAAGATAGTAAACAAAAAGGTCTCTCGAAGCGAACAGATTAGTAGCGGGAAATAAAGTTATTACCCCCTTATTCGGCCAGCACATTTACTTTTGATTCCGGCGACTGTTCGATACAAGTTCTAAAATAAATAGTAATTACCTCCGCTACACACTTCAATCTTCATATGTTTGTGAGTCACATGCCCTGTTGGCGAAAGGTGCTCATTAAGGATCTTACTGGGAAAAAAAATGATATATTTAACGAAGAGGGCTTTGCATTTTTAATTAATAGCATGTAAATAATTTTTTGCAAGATAAATATTTCGGTTTCTTTCTTTTTAGCGATCGAAATTTTTCTCACTTACCAAATATACCGATTGCTTTTAAAAATGCATACTTTTTGTTCTTGAAAACGCCTCTAATGAGCTTTATTCAGAATATATGAGAATTTTCTCACGGGAATTAAGTAGTTTTCATAGATGAATGAAATCATTTTGCATTTCGGGCGCTATCCGTGTAGCCTTTTTTTTTTTTTTTTTTATATCCAGAAGGAAATCGCCCCAGGCCTACAGTTGAGTACAATCTCTTCTTCCAAAATTTAACACTTGCCTGCTTAAAAAAATGTTCAACCTTTTTATGCGTTTGTTGGAAATTGAATAAAAAAAAAAAAATCTCCAAATCAAAAGAGAAATATAATTTAAAAAAAAAAAAATCTCCAAATCAAAAGAGAAATATAATTTAAAAAAAAAAAAAAAAAAAAAAAAAAAAAACTTATTTGCGCATTTTTTTTTTTTTTTACTGGGAGAAAAATTATTGCTAGCAATGTGGAAGCAGGCTTCCCTTAGCCTTAATTAATGAATTTTGTTTTTAAACTCACGCATAAATATGGCAATTTGACTTTCCGGAGGTAACTTACGATAACGCAGTTAATTCGGTAAAAATGAAAATTATAAATGAAAGAAAAAAGGGGTTTCCATCGATGGAGTTAACAAAATCGCTCCTTTATAATCAGGAATGTAAAAAGAAAAAAAGGGGGGGTGGAGAGGGGGTTGTCGCTTACATCTTTCCTGCCCCGGTCAAACGTGCACTTGTTCATATCTGGTGTGTAATAAAAAAAAAAATGTATTTGTTTACAATGCATTCTACGACGTACATCAGCAAGTAAACGATAATGAAATTGTCCAGCTTAATTTTAGTTCGGTAAGAAAACTATTTTATTTTGAATTTATCAAATTGCAGTGAGCTCCGGATGTGTAGGGGGTACATTAATTTGTTTTTTTTTGATAAATTTCATAAATGAACACCGACGAAAAAAAAAAAAAAAAAAAATTTAAATTTTCGTTCTTTTCCCTTTTTAGCCCACTTCTTGGTAGAAATTGGTGGAATTGTTTGGAATGAAGTAACAGCTTCGAACGAGATTTGAACTCTGATTAAAACTAGATTTTTCTTCATTGGCTTTTAGTTTTAAAAAGTAAACAACCACCCTCATGTCAGTAAAGACAAAAAGAAAAAGGAAAAAAATGAATTTAAAAGCACACATAAAAATTAAAAATAAGGGAGGAATTAAGTTAAGAGGACTTACTGAAAAATTATAGGTAAATTTGCCACTGAAAAAAAATGGTGTGAAAATACATTCGCTGGTTTTCTTTCGTTGACTGACCGGTTTGTGCGTGAAGGGCTGAGAATATTGATTGAATCAAAAAGAGGTAAAAAACTAAACAGTAAACACGGAAGCAAGGGAGAGAAAGAACGAAGACAGATGAGAAAGAAAAGGGGGAAGATGCCCATCAAACGAGCATTGCACTATGAGAGAGTACAAAAATGTATAATATTAACTAACAACACCTTATGTGTAACAGTGTAGTTTGTTTTGTTTTTGTAAATTTCGGATTGGCATAGCGAGTTTTTTGTTTAACTGATTTTTACAAAAACAAATAGTAGAAAAAAAAAAAAAAAGAAGATATATATATATAAATAAATAAAAAGGAAAATCATCAAGGTACCTTTTAGTTTTTAAGACAATAATACAGTTTTAACAATTCCTTAAGCATAAACACTAATGAATGAATGAAATAACTAGTAACACGTTCAAGGAAAATAATTTTACCAACGCAAGCAAAAAGAAAATTTGAGTAATAAACAAACCTAAATAAAATTACTCGGTACAAATTCATGCAGAATAAAATAAAAAGCATACTATTTTTTAAATAATTAAAAAATGTATCACCGTTTTTACCTTAATGGCGTTGAAATTTAAAGAACTTGATTTAATTGTCATTTTGTGGAAGCAGAAATGAATATGATCAGTCAGTGTCAAACAGGTTGCTTCCTTTCGAGTAGCTGCTTATTTTTCAAATGACATTCCTCGCAGTACCATGTCCAAATTTTTTTTACCCCCCCCCCCTCTGTTGATAAAGAGAGTTTTTAAACGCCAGCAGTTGATTGGGAGCCAGGGGCTCGCATCGTTTATTTTGTACAGCAAAAAACAAAAAAAACCCTAGTTTATTCAGGCGGCAAATAAAACGACTGTCAAACAATCGAATAAGAATTTAAGTGTCCCTGACTCCATCTCTAATGACTTAAAAAGCAATGTGTTTTCTTTTTATTGGCGATGCACATGTTGCACTTTACTTTTTTTCTTCAAAAGAAGTGAAATGTGCACTCAGGCGACAATATGGCAGTTGAGAAAAAAAGCGTAAATA